TAATGTTGTTTGGGCTCAACCGCAAACCTAAATAATAAAGAGATCATGTACTGGGCTATACACGGCCCATGTACAGATCATATTTGCCGTCTCCATGGAATCTATTCCTTTATACAAATAGGAGGATTAGAGATTCACTGTTCACGCTACAGTAAATACTACAGTAACATTTACTGTAGCATTATTACTGTGCTAATACTTAATTAAAAAATGCTACTGTGGCACACGGGTATACTGTAACATTTAAAAGATACTGTAGCAGAGCGGGATACTGTAGCACTTCCAAAAATTCAAAACATGCCATATTTTAAAAAACGGGATTACTGTAGCAAAAATACCATGCTTTGCACGGACTGCAAACTAGTTGAATATGATCCTTGGATCCTCTTGGAGCGCGGGTGGTGCACATCATAGATAACGGAAATGATTTTTGTCACGCGAGATGGGTGCGTGATCCCGTCTCGCGTGACAAATAGAAGGACTCCATAGATAAATAGATAGATACTCTGCAGTCAAATCGCTTGGTTTCGTGCTTTTGACTGGGTCAAAAGGATGCTTTTGACTGGGTCAAAAGGGTAACGATTAAATACGTACGGGGTACAGACACAGGCACAGCTTTGGGAGCACCACCGAGGCTTGTCTATCTTTATTACACAAAATCTCGGGAAATGACAAGTTCAAATACGAAACCTGCAAAGCCAAATGCCAGGCCATGCTGCTGCTGCTTTCTTTTTTTCCGCCTCGACCTCTGGACTCTGCAGGGGAAGACGACGAGGACCGGCACGCTCCTAAGCAGGCTCACACAACTGCTTCCATTTCTTTTATTTTATTATTATGGAACGAGGTCGCTTAATTTCACCGGTTTTAACTGCTTCCTTCACTGTTCCCAGTGCTGCTGCTGCTGCTGTATGGATCCTAACATACACCCACCCACGACACTTGATTACTGACCGTATGCCTTTACATTCATTTGTTTCAATTTTTTTTTTGATACACGGTGGATCACAAATTCTAGGATGAAAAAGTGAGTTTTTTTAAGTTTATGGATATCATAACTTTTATTTAATTCAAAATAAATTTTGGGATATTGAATACCCAAATAATAAAAAACTAATATATTATAACATTTGTGAAATACACTTTTTGAGAAGGGATTTAGGTTAGATTTCAAATTTTAAAATTTGTAATATATGCTACTATTATAATATTCCTGCTAATGGACATACGACGTATTGACAAACAAACAGATTGTATCCTTATACGTCTTGCCCCGCTCAACTGGATGGTCCAGATCCCCCGGAGTCTGACTCGGTCGATTCGTCAAGTCTATATTCTTCCATGCCGACACGAAAGGCGGTATTAGTTGGTCCTCTTGTCCTGGACGGCTTGCTAAGAGTCTACTCGACTACTTGTCCAGAACACCTCTTGAAACTGCCTCGAAACGACATTACTTCTCGATGAAGCTATCCTCACTGGCTACATGTCCGCATCGCATTTAATGCGTGACCGACACATTATTTCTCTGGCCCCGACAGTCTTCATGACTCATCGGACCACGTGGGCCACTGTCCCGCCGCTGATCACTTCCCATTTAATACTGAAGTGATCTACCCTCTAGTCATCAACTGACACTTGTAAAGCAAAAACTGACTCAGCTACCAACCCGCACTTCGCCAACGCCTCACTGTGCTTGGCCGAAGTGACCAATTTATCTCTCGTGCTCCGGGTATAAATACAGGTATCATTCAAACTTGGAGGGGGACTGCTCTCTCAAAAATCTGCCTTTAGAACACACACTTCTTACTTTTCCCACTCAAGTTCATCAGCTAATTAACTTGATCGTTGGAGGTACCATGAGGGAACTAATCCCCACCCTCTTACGAGTTTCTACATATGCAGATTGATAACACCCCAACTCAAAAACCAGACATAAAGTCAGGGAAGGAAGTGGCCCATCTTCAATACTGAATCGAACCTATCCTCTTCTAGATACGATTGATTGTTTGATCTTAGTCATCAACATCTACAATTTGAGTTTAAAACAAACAAAATACAAATTATAGGATTTTATATCCCAAAACATTGATGAAACAAACAACATTTTAGAGATCCCAAAGCATGTTAAAAAACCTATGGATTTCAAATCCCATTGTGAAATCCATATCTTAAAATTATAGGATTTGAAACAAACACCCCCTAAATGAATTATAAATGTTTCCCTAGCTCTGCATCTTCTCTGATCGAATGAGACGGGTATAATATATCACAGGCCTTCGTTCTTCATGATAATTGTATCTGTACCTTCCTTGGAGCTTGCTAGATAGATCATTAGATTGGGCATAACTGTTGTCTTTGGTGTATAATAATTAATAATAGAAGCATTTATCCTTTTCTTTCCTTTTCCGTCAGAAATAGACTAAACGGCTTAATTTGTCTTCAATGGTAAATATGAAGTGGAGAAGATTAAGGACCGATGGAGGTTCCATGAATTGCTCGCAATTAATTAATACAGAAAACAGATTGAAGCACTATATACATAAATCCAATATTATATAAATAATTGCAAGAAGTAGCCATGCTTGTAATAGAAATTAAGAGTCCATGTGAGTGAACAATAGCATACTTCAAATTAAAGGGAGCAGCATTTTTTTTTTTGGGGGTGAGAAAAAGAGAGCAACAACAGCATAAAGAGATGCAATACACATAGATGCAGGTAGATAAATTCCATTACATATGGCTTCTCCTTGTGAGGTTATGTACACATTGTCTAAAACGCACAGCACAGCACATCACAGAGCAGACTCCGGAGTGAGCTTTAACAGGTCAAATGACAAGCTTAATTTGTTACATATATGGAAACCATAGAGACATTATTGGGGTCATGCATTCATCCATGCTGCTAGCATGAAAACAGTACTTGAGACCAACATCATTTTGTCGACAATAAATTCCATATTATGGTGGATCAGGCTAGCATTGCCACAAGCTCGTCAAGTGACTTGAGGGTCTTCTCATAGTAGAGATAAGATTCATACACTTTTGGGCTACGAACATAACGATCGAGCTGCACGCACAATTATTCATATATATATATATATAACTATAAGTAACTAGGCTCCCACCTAAGGACGCGGCCTAAAATCACATCATTTCCTAAATTTTTTTTACGATCCGCTCCGTTAAACTTGATCTACACGTTCTTAAACCCAAATACACTAATTTTGGGGTGAACCCGTTGTGTTTTGACCATTCGTTGAGCCGTGCAAAAAGTTCTATTCATTCGAAACCGTTAAAATTGCAGCGAGTGGATAAAGGGTCAAAACACGACGGGTTTACCTCAAAATTGGTGTGTTTGAGCTTAAGAACGTGTAGATCAAGTTCAACGGAGTGGATAGAAAAAAAAACAAGAAAATGATGTGATTTTAGGCCGCGTCCTTAGGTGGGAGCCTAGGGTGTCACTTTAGATTCACTTTTCCCTATATATCGTATAATCTATCTATATCTATACTACTATAAAAAAGGATTGCTATGTTAAAACTTTTGATTTCCTTTTATACCCTCTCAATTTTAATAATCCCCAATAACTATAATAAAATATGTGTAGTTCTAATGACTACTAGGTTCCCCTAAAATTATATTTTTGGTTAAGCACTAATTATTATGTTAGTTATCTTGTGAGGACTTTTGGGTTCCCATGAAATTGTATTTTGGGTTAAACACTTATTCTTAATTTTGTTTTACATAATTACTATGCAGCTCGAAAATATAGTTAGGTGTATGCAATAATATGATGAAGGATAATGTTTTAGAGCAACTAACCAATATTATATTACACAAAGGCCTCTTTATGTATTTAGAAATACACAATTTTCATCTTAACTAAGCTAAATATGAGAAATGTTTGACCATAATTTCTTTATGTTCTTTGTTTAGAAGAATAGAGAACTTGCTTGTAATTATACTATAAAACTGTGCCTAATGTTGTACAAATTATGCATAGTTTGCTAATGTAATAGCTAACTATTTTGATTTGGACTCCCATGAAAAGAGAAAATGAGCACAAAATAGTAACTTCTAGAAAAAATATAGGATAATGGATAATCAAATTATTTGAAGAGATGAAGAGTCAATATGAAAGTTTAATTACAAGACATTGAGGATTAAACGAAAATGATGTGTACTCAGTTTAGCAATATACAAAATTAGATAACTTAAAAATATCCTTAAATTTATAATTTGAAGCAAACCAATGTAAAAACTGCAGAGTTTGGACCATAATGAATATTCAATCTCTTTAATAGTCATTTTGTTTATAAGAAACTTGTTGATGCTAAAGATCACACAATATAATCCAGAATAGGCTGGTTACGGTTGAGTAGTGATAGAAGATGATGAAGGGGATCTCTTCCTTTCCCGAATTTATGTCTGGCCACTGAGTTAGAGTTTGCAATATGCACAGAAGAAGTCGTGAGAGGGCGGGGTGATGATTCCCCTGTGGTACCTCCGACGATAAAGTCAGTTGATGAACTTGAGCTTGAGTGGAGAAATAGAACTATGTGTTCTTATGCTATGTGCATTAGAGATGATCTCTGAGATTTAGGTCAGAAGGAGAGTTTAGATTGCTAATCTTTGGCTATGGTGAATAACATCTGCATATAAAGGGATTGCCAATGGCAGATTGGTCACTTTGGCCATGCAAATAGCGGTGACCAAGTGTGAGCTGGAAGGTAAGTCATCCTTTACTCTACATGTGTCGGCTGGCGACAGGAGGAAGATCACTTCGGCCTCGATTTGAGAAGCGATCGATGAGATGTGGGCTGATGAGCTGCGTGATGACGCATGGTCTTTGAGTAGACATGATATGACTTGTTGTCAGGATGGATAAGCTTTAGCGAAGTTATCTTCTAGCTTCGCTGAGAAGCAATGTCCCTCATAATGGGACTAAACGAGGAGAGTCGACTCGTTGAGAGGAGTGATGACTCGTTGAGTCTACTAGGCTCTTGGTGAGTTGCCTGCTGTGAGAGGGCCGACTGGTACCGTCTTTCGAGTCGACATTGGTGATTGTCGACTAGTCTAGTCGGCTGAGTCGGACTGCTAGCTGATCTCTGGCTATCTCTCCGTTGGTCGAGATATCGACTCATCAAATCATATATCTGGAAACAATTATACTCCATACCAGTTGGCCTATTTCGCTTGGAGTCCACTTTAGCCGAGTCCAAGTGAAATGAATAAAACTCTAGACTGAAGTTATGGCTATTGATTGCTTTGTAGCATTGCTCTGATTGAGCGAATCAAGTGGCAATTCTTGAGCTGATCGTGTATTATCGACCCGAATGTTACGAGTCGGCTTGACAACTGGTTCATATTACGCCTTCTGCGGGCAAGATGCTCAGCTCTTGGTCAACAAAGACCGGCAAGTTGAAGTGCTTTGAGTCTTTTTGCCGAAGATGACCGGGCAATTGAACTCCATGCCTTGGGTTTACTCATAATGATATCAAGGTCTTAATGACAGAATGATAACTCTAAGGTTAGGCCTTATGTTGGACCTAAGTCTTCATAATCCTCGTATGGTCGAGAGGTGACTATGAGAGTCGATCATAGAGTTGTGCCTTGGGCTTATCCTTAAAAGGAACCAAGGTCTTGACCATGATGATCAATGAGAGCCGGAGGAATCGAATCATATGTTGTGCCTTGCGCTTACATTGATAAAGAGCCAAGGGCTTTGAAATATGACTGAGGAGTCGAACCACCTAGGCTCTTGAGAGTCGACTAGGTTTTCCCCTATGACCGAGAGACGACTGTGGGGGTCGGCGAATGGGTTGTGCTTTGGGCTTATCCTGTTGATGAACCAAGGTCTTGACCATGATGATCGATGAGAGCCGGAGGAATCGAACTATATGTTGTGCCTTGGGCTTACCTTAATAAAGAGCCAAGGGCTTTGAAATCCGACTGAGGAGTCGAACCACCTAGGTTCTTGAGAGTCGACTAGGTTTTCCCCTATGGCTAAGAGACGACTGTGGGAGTCAGCCAAAGGGTTGTGCCTTAGGCTTATCCTAATGAGGAGCCAAGGGCTTGGAATCCTACCGAGGAGTCGAATGTCTAAAACTACGAGAGTTGACTAGGGCTTCCCCTATGGCCGAGAGACGACTGTGGGAGTCAGCCAAATGGTTGTGCCTTGGGCTTATCCTGATGAGGAGCCAAGGGCTTGGATCAGGGTGCCAAAGGCGTAGTTGTGGAGGTCTCTGTGACCCTAGCTGCCACCTTGTAGGCTCGGGCATCTTCCATATCCATGTATCCATGGGCTCTGGACATCAGTTGCTCATAATTGACGTCTGGTTTCTTAGCAAGAGAGTCGACCAAGTCATTGCTCTGCAAACCGGCGACGAGTGCTGACATGGCGACCGCACTCCCTGGGTCGTTGACTTTTAGCCTCTTGGCTTGGAATCTCTTGAAGTAGGTCTTCTGACCCCTGCCTCATTTGGATCAACATAAGACGGGGGAGCTTCTGCTTGGCGTCAGCTAGGAAATAGTGGATGAACTTTCGGCTAAGCTGTTAAAAGTTTCTGATGGATCTCTTTTCGAGAGTATTCCACCAAAGCTTAGCATTCCCTGAAAGAGTGATAGGAAAGCACCGATAGAGAATTGCTTCTGAGGCTTAGAGCATACTCATCACATCATAATAATTCTGAACATGCTCAGAGGGGTCTCCCTTACCCTTGTATGTCTCTATGCGAGGCATTTGAATTTCTCACATGGGACATTCATAAGGTCGTCTGAAAGGGGGTTGTTACTCCCGAAGACACTTGCGATCGGTCTAATGCCTTGATTGTATCCAGAGGCTCTAATGGTAGCCGAGGGGACCGGAGAGGCACGATGGCGGAGAGTCTTAGAGACTGCTTCTTGCGGCTATGGAAGCCGGCTGAGAAGCTCATTGGTGAAGGCAGCAAATTGCTCTTGGCAAGATTGAGAAATCATATAGGCTGTTGCTTCAAGCTGGGCTTGAGTAGCATAGCTTTGATGAGGTCCTTTAGGACGAGATAGCTCAGCTCTATCTTCAGAACCAGACATATTCTTTCAAAAAAGAAAGAAGGCCCCCACGGTGGGCGCCAACTGTTGATGCTAAAGATCACACAATATAATCCAGAATAGGATGGTTGCGGTTGAGGAGTGATAGAAGATGATGAAGGGGATCTCTTCCTTTCCCGACTTTATGTCTGGCCACTGAGTTAGAGTTTGCAATATGCACAAAAGAAGTCGTGAGAGGGAAGGGTGATGATTCCCTCGTGGTACCTCCGACGATCAAGTCAGTTGATGAACTTGAGCTTGAGTGGAGAAATAGAACTATATGTTCTTATGCTATGTGCATTAGAGATGATGATCTTTGAGATTTAGGTTAGAAGGAGAGTTTAGATTGCCAACCTTTGGCTATGGCGAATAGCATCTGCATATAAAGAGGTTGCCAATGACAGATTGGTCACTTCGGCCATGCAAATGGCGGTGACAAAGTGTGAGCTGGAAGGTGAGTCATCCTTTGCTCTATATGTGTCGGCTGGCAACAGGAGGAAGATCACTTCGGTCTCGATTTGAGGAGCGATCGATGGGACATGGGCTGATAAGCGGCGTGATGACGCATGGTTTTTGAGTAGACATGATATGACTTGTTGTCAGGATGGATAAGCTTTGGCGAAGTTATCTTCTAGCTTCGCTGAGAAGCAATGTTCCTCATGATGGGACTCACGAGGAGAGTCGACTCGTTGAGAGGAGTGACGACTCGCTGAGTCTACTAGGCTCTTAGCGAGTTGCCTGCTGCGAGAGGGCCGGCTGGTACCGCCTTTCGAGTCGACATTTATGAATATCGACTCGTCTGGTCGGCTGAATCGGACTGCTAGCTGATCTCTGGCTAACTCTCCCATCGGTCGAGATGTCGACTCGTCAGATCATATATCTGGAAACAGTTGTACCCTATAACAAAATTTATGCTGATACTATCTTAGAGTGGAAACCTAAAGCTTTGATGTTTTGAGATAACCCTAAAACTTATTGTTTAAATTATAAATTTAACATTAAAAACTAATTTAATAACATATGTTAATTTATACATGCATCACGCACCACGTGCAATGCACGTAAGACATACTAGTTTAGTTAAACATTAATTGTAATAAACCAGTTATAATAGGGAGTAGGTCGCAGGACGTGATTGAGATAATTAGTTTGAGAAGATTAATTGTAATCGAATCTTATTATTATGGAGAGGGGTTCCATGCAAAAGGACTTCCAAGAGGGGTTTTCATGTAATTTAACCATCAAAGATGGACAGCTACCGAACAATTGTCTGCGTTGCTTTATATTCAAAAGTAATTCAAAGATAAATCTCTTTAATTACTGGTTTATCCTACTACGTAGTTTTGAATAATCCAATCCTAATTATTGTAGTGAAGGTCATAACTAGGAAAAAAAATTAATTTGTTATCCTAGTAATTAGAATAGGATAAAAACATAATATCTAAAAATATCAAGGGTAGTATTGGCCATAAATTTTTTTTTTCGAAACTCGTGTTTTTAAAGAACAAGTATGATATGATATGATCATGATGATGTACATGTATATAATTGTATATAATTGGGCACAATATATTATTAAATAAATAAATGAAAAGGGTTACACATATACCTCGGACATGTTGTCGACGACATCGTTGGCAGTCTTAACGTAGGACTTGCGCTGATCGTCAGGAACGGTGGACATGGCGTTCTTGAGGTCGGAGTCGAGATAGGCTGATTTGAGGCGGATGTAGAACATGACGTACCTCCACGACATTGTCTCAAGCATGTGCCTCATCTCTCTCAGCCCCTCCGTCGTCTGCCTGATCCTGGCCACCGATTCCTCCGGGGACAGCTGAGGCTGAAAGTACTTCTCCTTTATGAACGACCTGGTCCCCCACCTCTGCTGACCATTAATCTCCTCCATTGCCTCCGCTTCGCGTGCGCTCCCGCCACCGGCCTAGCGGCCTTCCAAGCATCGCGGTCGCCCAACGCTCCACCGCCGGACACTATGCCCGATCGACGCCTCATCGGCGGCAGTATCGTAGGCTCTGTGAATCGGGCCGGATCACGCAAAGATCCCTCGGTTACCAGCTTTTCGCTGCCTCTGGGTCATTAGCCCGCGCCATGCCTTCTGCATCTCAATGCCCGCGGCGCGGTGTGGGAGCTGACTGATGCCCTGCCGTAGCGCAGTAGGAGGGGCTTACAAGACTCGACATTTTGCTTATGGCGCGAAGGTGGAGTTGGATATATGCTAGCTAATTAAGTGGTAAGGATTGCTGGTAGCATACTGCTTCTAATTATTATATATATATATATATAGTATATATATATATATATATTATATGATATATATATATATATATATATATATATAATATATATCTTACTATATATATATATATATTAATGCTTTGTTCTGTCTTAATTAGGTATATATTCAATTTGAATTGTAGAGAGATTAGATGCTTGTGGTCTATATTAAGAGCACAAGAGAGGGAGCGCGTGCTTTGTTTCCTGCCTTACCCGCTGCCTAAGGCTTATCTCTCCTTATCCGCTTCTAGCTAGCGCAGGATAATATGCAGAGATATTTCACACAAGCATGCGGGCAAACTAATAAGTGTGTGTATCCGTTGATACATGTACATCTTTCTGTACCGAACATGTAATTAAGACAATACAAACTAATTTAGGTTTTTTAATCGAGGCATCATGGGCCCGCCTTTTCTTAGGGCTTGTTTGGATTTGGACCAAGTTAAGGAAACATAAAAGAAATTAATTTAAAAGAAGATAAGAGCATCTCCAACAGCTTCCTCATTTCTCACTTTTGGAGAATTTAGTTAGGTTTTTGGTTCAACAGATTCCTCATCCCATTTCCCAAAATAGGGATGGAGGAGAAAAAATAGGAAAGCTGCCCCAAATGTGCAGCATTCTCCAAATTTTTGGAAGAAAAAATGGATTCTTCAAAATGGGAGCTGTTAGAGTTGGTGTAAAAATAATTTAAAGAATATGACTTTTGATCCCCATTTTGGAGAAAAATTTAGAGAAGCTGTTGGAGATGCCCTAAGAGCATCTCCAACCGCTTCTCCATCTTCTTAAAATACTCAATTTTAGAGAATATAGAGCTATTTTTAGGTCCACCAGTTTCTTCATCTCATTCCCTAAAATGGGGATGGAGAAGAAAAAAAAAGGTCTTTCCCCAAATCTGTAGCATTCTGCAAAAATTCTTTCTTTTCCAAATTCTTGAAAGTAACATTATCATAAATATTTCACATTCTCCAAAGAAGAAGAAAAATATATCTAATACTTTATTGAGTTTTATATATTATTATAATAAAATATCAAACATTTATTTCTTAATTATTATTGAGTATGTAGGATGTTTTATAGTTGTAATAAATGCTTAAATCCCTAAAATCGGGAAGCTGTTGGATTTGGAGCAAATTTTTTTTAGAGAATTTGCCATTTTGCTTCCCCATTTTAGAGAAATTATAGTGAAACTGTTGGAGATGCTCGAAGAGAACATGTAAAACTTATTCGGGAAACTAGGAAGAGGAATCCAGTAGGACTTATTTCACACAGTTTGGAAAGTTTAATAAAGTGAAGGGAAAAGAAAGTGAATATAGAGTTGATCTTACGTCAACTTAAGTGGGCACCAAACCTTTGTCCACTAAAGTTTCTATCCACTCATTTATATATATAAAAAGATTCTTCATATCATGCAATATGAGTGGATAGAAACTTTGGTGGACCATCCACTTAAGTTCACATAAGAATTGCTCAGAGAATATATATAAATTTACATTAATAACCTTATTAAGTCTTTTTATTGTTAGAAATTAGATAAATAATAAAATGGTCTCTTCATAATTATTTTTTAATTAGAAGTTCTCATCCCTTCACCACAATTACACCCCAAATTAGAGGGGGTAAGAAAAACTTGAATTTTCTCCCCTCATTCACCTTCCCGTCTCCCTCATTACCTAGCAAAAATTAATTTCCAAAGAAAGATAATGAGTCTCTTAACTTCCCTTACCGCTTTTTACCCCCTAACCCAAACAAGCCCATATATAAAACCTTGCTGAAATGTCTTAACGAAGATGATGGTATAATCACACAATACTCTAAAATATTGTTTCGTGATGTTCATTCTGTTGATGTTCGATATCACACAGACTACTAATCCAGAAGAGGATGCTTGCGGGGTGATGAAGGATGATGAAGGGAATCTCTTCCTTTCCCGACTTTATGTCTGGCCACTGAGTTGGAGTTTGCGATCTGTACAGAAGAAGTCGTGAGAGGGCGGGGTGATGATTCCCTCGTGGTACCTCCAATGATCAAGTCAGTTGATGAATTTGAGCTTGAGTGGAGTAATAGAACTATGTGTTCTTATGCTATGTGCATTAGAGATGATGATCTCTCAGATTTAGATCAAGAGGAAAGTTTAGATTGCCAACTTGCCAACTTGCGAACCCCCTTTTTATGACGAATAACATTTGTATTTATAAAGGATGCCATGGGCAGATCGGTCACTTTATGAGTGTACTGTAAGGCGGTGGTGAGGGGTGAGCTGGAGGTTGAGTCACCCTTTGTTCTATACGTGTCGGTTTATGAGTGACGGGAGGTCACTTCAATGATATTAGGAGCTAGCAACCGACGAGTCTTGTCGGTTTGTGAGTGACAGGAGGTCACTTCAGTGATATTGGGAGCCAGCAACCGACGAGTCTTGTTGGTTTGTGAGTGACGGGAGGTCACTTCAGCGACATTAGGAGCTAGCAGCCAACAAATCTTTAGACGGCTGAGGATGGAGACATAATGATGATCATCAAAGGTTAAATAATGTTGAGAAGTAATATTCTGGGTCGTCCTCAGGAGGAGTGCCGGCTAACGCTGAGTAGCGATCTTTTGATATGAAGGATCGACTAAGCCCACCTCTCGAGTCGCCTTTGAGGAATGATGCAGACTCGACTGGGGGAGTGACGACTCGGTTGTCCTTTAGGTTGACTCCGAGGAGTGTTGAATCTCTTGAATGCTGATTTTCATACCGACTAACACTGCCTTCCTAGTTGCCAGATCGTGTCGGCTTGTCTGGCTGGTCGAGATGTCGACTCATCAGATCATACATTTGGAAACAGTTGTACCCCATAACAGTTGGCCCCTTTTGTTTGGAGTCGGCTTTAGCCGAGTCTAAGTGAAATGAATAAAGCTCTGGACTAAAGTTAGGGCTGCTGATTGCTTTGTAGCATTGCTCTGATTGAGCGAACCAAGTGACAATTCTTGAGTTGGTTGTGTTGTGTCGACCCGAATGTTACGAGTCGTCTTGACAACTGGCTCATATTGCACCTACTGTGGGCAAGATGCTCGGGCCTTGGTCGATGAATACTAGCAAGTCGAAGTGCTTTAAGTCTTTTTTGAAGATGACCGGACAATTGAACTCTATGCCTTGGGTTTACTCATGATGATACCAAGGTCTTAATGGCAGGATGATAACTCTGAGGCTGGGCTTCATGCTGGACCTAAGTCTTCATAATCCTCTTATGGCCGAGAGGTGACTGTAGGAGTCAGCCATAGAGTTGTGCATTGGGCTTATCCTGAAAAGGAGCCAAAGGCTTTGAAATCCGACTGAGGAGTCGAACGCCTAGAACTGTGAAGAAAATTGACTAGGGCTTCCCCTATGGCCGAGAGACGACTATGGGAGTCGGCCATAGGGTTGTGCCTTAGGCTTATCCTGATGAGGAGCCAAGAGCTTGAAATTCGACTGAAGAGTCGAACCACCTAGGCTCTTGAGAGTTGACTAGGTTTTTGCAATCCTCTAAGGTCGAAAGGTGAATGTGGGAGTCAACCAAAGAGTTGTATCTTGGGCTTATCCTAAAAAGAAGCCAAGGGCTTGCCATGATAGTCGATGAGAGCCGGAGGAATCGAACCATATGTTGTGCCTTGGGCTTACCCTGATAAGGAGCCAAAGGCTTTGAAATCTGACTAAGGAGTTGAACCACCTAGGCTCTTGAGAGTTAACTAGGTTTTCCCCTATGACGGAGAGATGACTGTAGGAGTCGGTCAAAGGGTTGTGCCTTGTGCTTATCCTGATGAGGAGCCAATGGCTTGGAATCTGACTGAGGAGTCGAATGCCTAGAACTGTGAATAAAATTATCTAGGGCTTTTCCTATGGTCGAGAGACGACTATGAGAGTCGGCCATAGGGTTATGCCTTGGGCTTATCCTGATGAGGAGTCAAGGGCTTGAAATCTGACTGAGGAGTCGAACTACCTAGGCTCTTGAGAGTCGACTAGGTTTTTCCAATCCTCTAAGGTCGAAAGGTGAATATGAAAGTCGACCAAAGAGTTGTGCCTTAGGCTTATCCTGAAAAGGAGCCAAGGGCTTGCCATAATGGTCGATGAGAGCCGGAGGAATCGAACCATATGTTGTGCTTTGGGTTTACCCTGATAAGGAGCCAAGGGCTTTGAAATCCGACTAAGGAGTCGAACCACCTAGGCTCTTGAGAGTTGACTAGGTTTTCCCCTATGGCCAAGAGACGACTGACTAAGGAGTCGAACCACCTAGGCTCTTGAGAGTTGACTAGGTTTTCCCCTATGGCCAAGAGACGACTGTGGGAGTCGGGCAAAGGGTTGTGCCTTGGGCTTATCCTGATGAGGAGCCAATGACTTGGAATCTGACTGAGGAGTCGAATGCCTAGAACTGCGAATAAAATTATCTAGGGCTTTTCCTATGGTCGAGAGACGACTGTGAGAGTCGGCCATAGGGTTATGCCTTGGGCTTATCCTGATGAGGAGTCAAGGGCTTGAAATCTGACTGAGGAGTCGAACTACCTAGGCTCTTGAGAGTCGATTAGGTTTTTCCAATCCTCTAAGGTCGAAAGGTGAATATGAAAGTCGACCAAAGAGTTGTGCCTTAGGCTTATCCTAAAAAGGATCCAAGGGCTTGCCATGATGGTCGATGA